GCATTTAATAATGCATATAATTGTGAATTATTGTATACCTGAAACCAATATAATATTGACCATCAACTATTATTTTAATAAAAAAAGCAAAGAAAATATTCCTGGGTATTTTATTATTTTTGATGCAATTGTAAATGGAATTGTTTTATTGATTTCTCTTTCTACTAGTTTATTATTAGTCTATAGAAACACAACAGATTTCTCAATATTGATTCTGTATCCTTCAAACTTAATTGATTTACTAGAGCTCACAGTATTTTGGTGGAGTCTTTAGGGTTTTCAATATATAGTGTTACTAATTAAAATAATTAAAGTTATTATATAATATTATTATACTATTTTCTATATATATTTTTTCTCCTAATTGCTCTGACTAGGATTTCCAATACTATGTTGGATAAAAGTGGCAAGAGTAGTTATCCTTGTTTTGTTCCTGATCTTAGAGAAAAAGCTTTCAGCTTTGCACTGTTAAGTGTGTTAGTGGGCTTGTCATATATAGTTTTTATTATGTTGCAGCACATTCTTTCTATACCCATGTTGTTGAGATGTTATTGAATTGTTGTTCATAATTTTTTTAACTTTAGTTCTTTATATATTCTTGATACAAGTCCTTTGCTAGATACATGTGTGGTGATTATTTCCCACTCTGTAGCATAATGCTGCCTTTATGTCTCTGGAAATTTAAGTTTTGAAAAAGTCCATTTTGTCAAATTTTTCTTTTATGATTAGCACCTTTTGTTTGATATAAAGAAATACTTGCCTACTACAAAGTTACTAAAATATTCTTCTGTGTTTTCTTCTAGACGTTTTATGAATCTGGGTTTAACATTCAGCCTATCAGCCACCTTTAATTAATCTTTGTGTTTGGAATGAAATAGGGCTGAAGTAAATTTTTCTTACAGATATCCAATTGTTTTAACAATATTTGTTTAAAAAAATTTCATCATTTATTGCTTTGGTGCCTTAGTAATAAAGAACTATATGTATGGGTCTACTTGTAGACTCAAATATGTCTATTTACTAGTTTATCCTTCTGTAAATAATATATTGTCTTGCTTATGGTAACTTTATAAAAGTCTTGAAATCAGGTAGTGTAAGTCTTCCAAATTTGTTCTATTTAAAGATTTTTTTTTTTGGCTATCCTAGGTCCTTCACCTTTTTAGATAAATTTTATATTTATTTTGCCTCCGTCTTTAAAAAAGCCTGGTGGAATTTTGAGATTGGGTTGAATTTACAAATCAATTTAGGAAGAATGGGCAGCTTAATGATGAGTTTTCCCATTATAAATATGACATATTTTTGGTTTACTTAGGTCTTTTAAAAATTTTCTTCAGTTATGTTTTATGGTTTTCAATAGAGGTCCTGTATATTTTTTGTTGTTTATTCCTAGGTTTCTGATGTTTTTGGTTGTATTATAAATGGGGTTGTTTTCAATTTCATTTCCTAAATGAATAAATGGTATTGTTTTGTTCTTAGTATATAGAAATTGAATTGCTTTTGGTATACTGACCTTGTATCCTATGACTTTCTAAATTAACCTATTAGTTCTAGTGGCTCTCTTGTATATTCCATAGGCTTTTTTATGTATATAATAATGTTGTCTGTGAACTTTTACTTCGTTTCCAATGTTATCTATGAATACAGTTCTACTTCTTTCCAAATTTTTATTGATATAACCCATGTACCATAGAATTCACTCTTTTCAAGTGTATAATTCAGTGGTCCTAGTATATTCACAAAGCTGTGCAACCATCATCAGTAATTTCAGAACATTTTCTTCACTCCAGATATCAACTCTATACTCATCAGCAGTCATGTTCCATTATCTCCGGCCCCAGCCCTTGATAACTATGAATCTACTTTCTTTCCCTATGGATTTGCCTGTTCTGGACATTTTATAGAAATGGAATCATACAATATGTGGCTTTCACTTAACATATGCATTCAACCATATAATGTGTTTCTCTATTTCATTCAATTCAATGTGGTGAATTACACCGACTTTTCAATATTAAACTTCACTTTCCTTGGCCATGGTATCTTATCCTGTATAGTAGAATGTTCAATTGCCAGTATTTCATTAAGAATTTTAAAATCCATATTTATGAGGCACATTGGTTTGTAATTTTCCTGTACAATGTCTTTGTGAAGTTTTGTTATCAGGATTATGTTGGCCATATGGGTTTGGAAGTGTTTCTTCCTGCTCTGTTTTCAGAAATAGTGTAGGACTGGTGTATTATCTTCTTTGATAAGATTTACTGGTGAAGCCATCTGGGCCTGGAGTTTTCTTTGTGGGAAGATTTTTATTACAATTCAATTTTTAAAAATTGGCCCATTTAATTTTCTTTTCCTTCTTAAGTATCAGGTTTTTTTTTCATATTTTTCAGGAATTTGTCCATTTCTTTTCATATTTATTGGCATAAAGTTCTTGGAACTATCCCCTTAACATTTGTATGTCTATTAGCATTTTGACTACATTAAAACTTTTCACACAAAAATAAAGTAGATGACAAATAATGAATCAGGGGAAAAGAACTACTTGACAGACAGAAAAAGGGTGTGTGTGTTTCTGTGAGTGTGTGTGTGTGTGTGTGTGTGTGTTGTATATAGGAGCAGTCCAGTGATTTATAAAGAGGGAACTATATACAATGGTCAAGTGTTACAAATACTGTGACAGGCTGTAGAGAGAACGCAAAGGAAGGACACCCATTTAATCTGGGGAGTAAGAATCATGATATTTAAGTGATGAGTCAGACTGCTCAACTCTAGATAACACATTGGTTATCTACCTGTGAGGGTCTATAGTCAGCTGGTCCCACTTCACTGGCATAACTTTAATTAAAAAGTAAACACAATTTCATTTTGTAAAAATGACATATTCATTATAAAAAAAATCAAGATAGAAAAGTCCAAAATATAAAATAAATCTCTTGCATTTTGGCCAACATCCTTCTAGATCTCTTTGTACAACTACCTTCACATATATACAGATATTCATGTTGGGATGACACTGTTCATGCTGATATGTATTCTGCTTTTATCTGGGACAAAAAACAACCTATATGCTATGGATATATTTTCATGTAAATAGATTTACATCATTGTTTTTAATGGCTCATTGTATGTATGCACTATAATTTGTGTCTTAGTGATGGCACTTACACTGTTTTTAGAAACACCTGTCATAAAAAAAGGAATGAGGAACATTCTTGTGAATCTGTTTCCTTTTTGTTATTCTCCTTAGAGTGAATGAGTAGGAAATGCAATCATTGGAGCAAAGGCTAATGCTTATGTTAAATTTCGGTAAATAAGGTTGTACCACTTTGAACTACACACCAGTGGTTCACAGAAGTAATCCCCATATACCAAAGCCAACGGATAGACAAAAGGGATCTCTTCTTTAAGTTGAACATCTTTTCCTTTTCATTTTCTAATTAGGTGTTTGTTTTTATTGGTTTAGGTTTAGGATGTCTTGATATCCTTTGACAATTTTATTGTTTTTAAATTGATACTCTAAGAGCTCTTTGTACATTAGAAATTTTTTACTTCTTTTTCCATATAAAACCAATTTATTTTCTAATGGTTCATTATTTGTGTGTAGAAAGTTACAATTTTGTGTACAGAGATTACAAACTTCAGGTGGTTAATCTTTATCAACTTTTTCCTTTATGTTTTCTGGTTCTTTTATATTTAAAAAGGCCCTTTTCAGCTCAAGTATCTTCATGGTTTCATTCTTTACTTTCAAATTCTTGATTCATCTGGTATTTTAAGAAATGTGATATAAAGTCTGTCCCCAAGTTAGCAATTTCTCAGATAATCTTTTTCCCACTGACCAGTGATTTGTAATGTATACTTTACTGATCACCACTTCTGGAGTCAGACCTCCTGGTTTCAACACTTGCCAGTAAGTCTCTGCATAACGTTGTAAAATTGAGATAATAATTGCACCTATGCAACAAAAGGTTAAATAACACGAAAATTGCTCCGGTACTCGACACATAAATGTTCAGCAAATGAGCTACTATAAAATACACATGCACAGTTTATTTCTGAATTGTATACTGTTAAGATATTTCCCCATCTATGTAATCCATCTACTAACACTCCATTGCCCAATTCACTGTCCCATCTACTGCTTTCTTCACTTTAACAAAAAAAGTCATACCTCAGTTGCCTTCCTAATCATAACTAGAGCCCCAAAATGTTCACTTCGGGGGTAAAAATAAGCTGTGCTTCACAATGTAGTGAGAATCAAAACCCAAAGCAAGGCATTCAACAACCATGGGGGAAGGGAGGGTTATCTATTTCTTTTTCACGTATTTTGTAAAGCTGAAACCCTACTTATTTAGGCTCTTGGCATATAACTGAAGTTCTCAAAAACCTGTACCCTCCTTTCTAACTTTAGTTTAGAACCTTAAGACAAATAGTTCAGTGTTATTTCCAGTGGGCCCTGAATTTGAGGTAATGACGTACGAGATCTGCGGCCGGACGCGCGGGGCTGGACAAGAATTCGCTCGTGGGCCCCGGCGCTGACCTGGGCCATTCCTCGGGGCAGGCTGGGCGACGGCGGGGCCCACACGGTCTGCGCGGTCGGGCACCAAGGCAGGCCGGCGGCGGCGGCGTCAGGGCCACCATCGGCGCCCTCAGGGAAGAAAGAGTGTGGGAAGGGCCGGCAGAGGGAAGGAGAAGCGCGGGAAGGGGAAAAACCTCCGAAGACGCTGCGGTGTGGGGGCGGCGAGGGAGACCGACTTCCCGCCCAGCCGCGCGCGCCGCTCTGGCTCCTTGAGGCAAGAGCCTGGTCCCGGATTTTCGGTTCTCGCCCGCTCAGGACTCGCGTCCCCGCGGAGAGCGCTCGTAGCGCCGCCCCAGCCCCGCGTTCCCGCGCTTGCAGGCCGCCACTCCGGCCTCGGCCCGCTCGCCACCTCCCTCTAACGACCTCCGGCTGCGGCGTCGGTGACGTCGGCGTGGGGGCGGGACTTCCTGCCTCACGCGCCCTGAGGTCTCGGGACCGAGCCCGCAGAGGCGCTCGCGGGTGACCGGGAGGCGATTGGCGTCCTGGCTACACGTCGGCTACGGGCTGGCTGCGCACCCCGGAGAGGTCCCGTCCGCCGGGAAGAAGCGCCGCCGCCGCGCTCTGCCCCCGGAGCTCCCCCGGGTACCCCTGATTCCCCCGGGGCGGGAGGCCCCGGCGCTCTCGGCCCTCCAGCTGCTCCTCCTCCCCAGCCTGCGCCGTCAGCGCCGGCCGGCACCTCGCCAGGCGTGGCGGGCTGGACCCTCACCCCGCGTATGGGACCGTATCCCTTATCCCCAATGCTCCTGCGAGAAGAGCCGAGTGGGTACCGTGGTTGGAGCTGTGGAGGCGTGGCAAGTGCTGCCAGAATACCGGTCACCAAGTTTCCTGTGCGCACGTTGCAAGGACAGTGTGTGAGTCTGGTACGTAACCTGTTTGTAAGGGATGCTGTCTCGTCCGTGTTTTGGAATACTCGTTTTTTCTTGACAACTGACCCCTGAATTCTTACTTATTTTTCTTGTAAAGTAATCGGAGCGGGTGTTAGAACAAAGGCTGTGAGACGTCTTTGTTATGAGTTAAATACACGTGAAACTCTTGATGCAGCTTTCTGATGCACACCAGCGTGGTGCTTGCATGGCCGGTTTAGTAACTCGCTAAACGTGGGGTACCTCCAGTTTAATTTGTGTTGAGAACAACGTGGTGTCACATTCCTTGATCCTGAAGACAATTTTAACAGTGATGATGGCCGTCATCACCGAGGTAACATCTAGAATGTGTCAGTGATTGCCAGGCTTAATGGACACATAAATCCTTCGTGTCCAACTTTTTACCATAATAAACGGGCACGTAGCTCTTAAAAATGCTCATTCTTTAAAAGCCTTTGGTCACATTATTTGTAATGAAGAAGCTATTTACAAAATTACAAAATTTCAAAGATGTTTGGGATAACAAGAAACTTGTTCTTAATTTCTTATGTGATCTAGTTCATAATAGGTTCAGACTATGAGCACAAAATACTTCAGTAGCTCCAGAACTGAGTAGGTTGTTAAAGCAACCTTCTGTTACTAAGCAACATCTCTCGTAAACAAGCTTAATATTCAACTAGAGCATAATTAAATGTATCTATCCTACAATTATCTGGATTCAGAATCCTCTAAATTCATAGGTTGTAGCCTGTAAGTGATTACAGTTAATACACACCTTTTGTATTGAGGTTTGATTTCAAACTAATTTTGTTTAGAATTATTAGAATGTTTTAAATTAAGCATCCTACAGGACTCTTCAGAGAGCTGCAGATTTGAGTTACCCTTTCATTTTTTGTCCTAGTTACCCTAGGACAGTGTATATCTGATACTCCCCTTCCTTTGAGTATTTTCTTTTCAACCAGATGAAGTGTGCAAACTAAACTCAGGAATTTTCAAGTAATAGAGTAATACCAATTTAGGGTTACATGGAGCATAGATGGTAGGTTAAGCCTTGGTTTAGCCAATAACTCCACTGTTTCTCCACTCATGGAACTGTTTGGCAAATACTGTTCATTGCATCTTTTTCTTTTTTTGCAATTTTTGAAAGCAATAACTTTTTAAGTTATATATAAGGAAGTATGTAAGAACCTTTGATACTGAGACTGAATGTCTTCTTTGAAGGCAAATTAAGTAATGGTAATTGGAACTTGAAATTTAATGTTCTTTACATTGTATCCTTACTGTATTGCAAAAATCCACAGACTTCATTTTAGCCCTCCCCTTTTTTCTTTCCCATATGCTGATGTTCAAGTAATGGCATATTCAATAGTTGGGCAAGACAAGCAGAGAAGAAGAAAAATCCAGAATGACTCATGTTGTGTGATAAAATCCTTAGTAATCAGAAGACAGCATTTTGTCACGGGAAGTTCTAATTCAAGAAACTTAGAAGAATGAAATCTTACAAAGATTAGTAAATTTTCAGAATTCTTTTTTGTGTATTTTCTAGGTGCTGTCTTTGCCTATTTGAGTTTTATTTTAACTTTGTCATTCATAATGTATTAGGTTCAGTGACTAGTTTTCTCAAATTGTCTAATCTCTGTGTACTTTAAGGGAGTGTATGTGTAGGTATCTATGTGAAAAAATTTACAGAAGTAGTCGTTCCTGCTGACTAAAGTTCACAGCTCTTAATCTGAACTCTTCAAAATCTTATTTCATGCCTCAAAGGTCTAGTCTACTCCACCGTTACTCCTGAAGGGAAGGAAAATTCTCTACCCTCTTAGGGTCTCTGGCTAAGCCTAAGAATTAAATTGACTTAAGACAGGCGAGAAAAAGCATATAAGTTTAAAATTTTTTTAATGTAGACTTGGGGACCTTTACAGGAAAATAAAGACTTGAAGAAGTGACCAGAATAGAAAGCTTTTAGACAGGAAGCATTAAGTTTGTGTATAATTGACAAGACACAGGGGATTGGGCTAGGAGTAGTAAATTGTGGAGAAGTGACTAGGAAGATAAGGATTAGTTTAAAAAGCTTTGCACAGATTTCTTGTCTTCCATTCCCCATCTCTGTTGATAAGATTATCTTCCTTGGTACAGGGAGGGCACCTTTCACATAGGAGTTTTATTCTTGTTCTAAGGAAGAAAAAGGGTCAGAGTGCCCCTCTTGCACCTGCTGTTTATCTAATACCTTTAACTCAAAATAGTCAAGATACCAAAGTGGCATATTTTTGTTACATGTTCTGAATTCCTCTGAAATTCTATAACGTGTATTTGTCAGTCATACATATTTGATATTTATACTTAATATTGTATTATTATTTCTGTAGTATGTCTTACTTTCCTAACTAAATTGTAAAGTTCTTAAAGGCAGGACATCAGATTTCAGTGAGCTGTATCATCAGGCTCTTCCAAATAGAAATTGCTGAATAAATATTTCTTAAAGATGAGGGTTGTGCATTTCTACTTTTTTTTTTTTTTACCCCTCCCATAGTGTAATAGAAGTAAAAAAATTTTTTGAGGGAGAAACTGAGAGAGGAAGGGTAACTGTAAACCATAAGAAATGGGATTAAAGAGGGGATTCACTGGGACCAGAAGGAAAGGTTCTGTTCCTAGAAAGTGTGAATATTTGAGACTTTCCCATGACAATATTAGCAGTAAGGACTCCCTCAGGATTGCTCATACTACTCCCCAGTGGGCTTGGCGAGTTTGGTCAATTTCCTGGCTCTTCTTAGTAGAACTGTAGTTAAAAAAAAAAAAGAAAAAGCTTCCCCCGACTCTCTTCTCCCTCTCGTCCTCCCTCCCTCCTTCTGTCCCTTTCTCCCCTTTTTAACCCTTCCATTTTATTGTTTACCAGGTCAAGACTTAATTTGTGAAATTATGTCACTACTTTCATTTTGCCCTCATAAATTAGCAGTTCTCATAAGTTTTCTATTTTTCCATCCAAACTGCCTCTCTGGAAAATGCGATCACAGACTGTGTAGTTTAGCACTATTTTTATTGATATATGTATGTATGTATGTATGCATGCACCATTAATATACAATTACATGAGCAACATTGTGGTTAATAGATTCCCCCCATTATCAAGTCCCTACCACATACCCCATTACAATCACTATCCATCAGCATAGTAAAATGCTATAGAATCACTACTTGTCTTCTCTGTGTGTTTTTTTCTTTTCATTTAACTGAGATATAATTCAGTAAGAAGGAAATTAAGGAAGTGTGTAGTTATTTGCTTTCTGTATATTGTAACTTCACATTGCCTTTGGATTCAAATTCATAGTGTTAGGGGAAACCTAAACCTAGCTGTTTCCTTCTGGAAAGGCACTCTCAAAATATGCCTTTAAATAAATTATAGGTAATTTTTACAGTCTCATTGTAAATCTGTCTTTGATGCTTATGATGAAGAGTTACTTCAATTAAAGGTATCAAAAGGTGAAGTTGAGTCTCAGAGTACTTTTATCAATCTTGGTTTGATTCAGATGTTTCTAAGTGAACTTGCTGTCCTAGCTTCTTAGTTGTTGCCTGTGACACAATTGCAGTATAACATAGCAACCATTCAAAACATTAGCACTGGAATATAGGGATTTTCCTGATGAAATTGCAGTGCTTGTCTCTGTGTTGGTGTTCAATCTGTCTTTTTTAACTGAATCACATTTTGGTTTAAGGCAGACATTTGATGTATTCGTAAACTTAAAAAGGCATACAATATAATTTTTCCCTTTGAGTGCTGGCAAATTATAACTTGCAGATTGTTTTTCATGTGGAGATACATGATAAATATATATTGAATCATAGTGTGTGTGAAGGACATGTGAAAAGATTGGGTCAGTTAAACATTAGTCTATTCTGGGCAGAAAAACTATTAAATAATAATTACCATTTGAGTTCTCTACAACTAATAGAGCCATCCAGAGCTGTGGTGAATGAACTTGAAATGGTTCTTCACTAAATAACGTATTTGTTACATCTGGAGACTCATGGAAAGCTTAGATCAATAAACATAATTTAATAGGCCCTATGGTTTTGTGGGAAGAGAATTGTGATTTAGAACACCAAAGCTGACTGAGTTAGTCACTTAACCTTTCTTGGCTTATTTTCTCATTTGAAAAAATAAATTCCCAAAGGTTTTGTTTTCAGAAATTGTATCTTTCCAGTTTAAAGCAAATTCTATTTCTCCTGCTCCTTTAGTTAATATTTGAGTGAATTATGTGTTTTGCACTATTCTAAGTATTGGGGAAGATTGTGAATAAGATATATTGCCATGTCTCAGCTTATTGTCTGGTGTAAAAATGGTAAGTAAATAGTTGTAATATAACATGGGAAGTGCTATAAAGATAAATAAGGGTGTGGGGGGCATATAAGAAGGATGTCTGACTTAGAATTGCAGATAGAATACACTAAGATTGAAGAATGCCTCATTAGAATTATTTAAGTGGGATCTGTGAATATACAGAGGAGTATTCAGTCTGGCCTGGAGGGAGTTAGTCATTCAAGTAAAACTGGAGAGAAGTTCTCTGAATTGAGGAAACAATGCTAAAGTCATTAGCAATAGCAGTAGTTCAGACCCTGGTTGTAGATGAGATTCCTACAGAGAATATGCAGAAGCAGAAAAGGGCTGGTGAACAAAGCATGTAATGGGTAGGTAGAGAGCATAGGAGGAAAGCCAGAGAAGAGTCATCTTGGAAGCCAAGAGAGAAGTGCATATCACATATAGTTTATTAATTAAATGGAAGTTTAATCAAGAAACAATGTGTAGCGCTTTAAATATAAATCTATCCATTAGAAAGCTCTGTACAAAGATCTTAACTTGGAAACAGGGATAGGTCAAATCTTTTGTTAGCATCTTAACATAAAAGAAAGAGTATATATTTTGAAGCCTGAATCCTGAGATTGAAGATTACAATCTTGGTTCTGTCACTTTACTAGCTGCTTGACTTTTTGGACCAGTTACTTAA